TATATAAAATAGTATATTGATTGAAAATTGCGGGATGTGGTGTGTTTAAGTCAATATATATTAGTACTGTTTTTTTAGCCATCTGTGTTTTGTGATCAACTGCTCTAAGGCGCACACCCCCGGTAAAAAAATGTTGGATGTTTCTRATTAATGAAACATTTAGTTTTATAATAAACTTAATCGAATAACATACGTTTGCTTTGTTTTAATATTAGTTTACCAAATTTACACAATCAAATAATGTTTTATGAACACGACGTACATTTTTCAATCTCCTCTAAGGTATSCTTGTGCAGGTCTGAAATTGTTAAATTTTAAATTAAATTGAGTATTTGTAAAATATCTTATATGTATATAAAAAAGTTTACTGATTGAAAACTGCGGGTTGTGGGGTATTTCAGTAAATATATATATATATGTAATATGTTTTAGCCATCTGTGTTGTGTATAATCAACAGCTCTATGGTGCACTTTCCTATTAAAAAATTGCTGACTGTTTCTGATTAGTCAAACAGTTAGTTTTATAATAAAGTTAATCGCTTAACCTACTTGTGCTGTTTTTGATTATTAGTTTACCAAATTTACATAATCCTTTAAAGTTTTAGTGTCACAACGCACCTGTTGTAATCATCATTATTGTAGTATCATCTGTATTCACTGAAAATTTTAAATTTTAAATTAAATTGAGTATTTGTAAAATATCTTGTATGTATATAAAATAGTATATTGATTGAAAATTATGGGATGTGGAGTGTTTAAGTCAATATATATTAGCACTGTTTTTTAGCCATCTGTGTTATGTGTACAACAACTCTATGGCGCACTCTACCAGCAAAAAATTATTGACTGTTTCTGATTAATGAAACATTTAGTTTTATAGTAATCTTAATCGTATAATAAAGGTTAGCATTTTTTGATTATTAGTTTACAAAATTTAGATAATCCTTTAAAGTTTTAGTGACACGACGTACTTTTGTTAATCATGTATAAGGTATCATCGTACAGGGCTGAAATTGTTAAATTTTAAATAAAATTGAGTATTTTTAAAATTTCTTATATGTATATAATATTTATATTTATTGAAAATTTGCAGGATGTGAGGTGTTTCAGTCAATATATATTAGTACTGTTTTTTAGCCATCTGTGCTGTGTGATCAAAAGCTCTATGGCGCACCCCCCCCAGCAAAAAATTGTTGATTGTTTTGGGTTAGTCAAACATTTAGTTTTATAATTAACTTAATCGTATAATAAACGTGTGCATTTTTTGATGATTAGTTTACAAAATTTAGATAATCATCTAATGTTTTGGTGACACGACGTACCATTTTTAATCTTCATTACGGTAGCTWTGTACTGGGCTGAAAATGTTAAATTTTAAATGAAATTGAGTATTTCTAAAATATCTTATATACAAAATATTATATTAATTGAGAATTGCGGGATTTGGGGTGTTTTAGTCAATTTATATTAATACTGTGTTGTGTGATCTACAGCTCTATGTCTTACTCACCCTTAAAAACTTGTTGACTGTTTCTGATTAGTGAAACATTTTGTTTTACAATAAACTTAATCGTATAACAAACGTGTTCTTTTTTTGATTATTATTTTTCAAATTTTATATAATTCTTTAAAGTATTAATAACACGACATACCTTTTGTTGTCTCTAAGTCCTGCGTGGAACCGGCTGAAAATGTTAAATTTTAAATGATATTGAGAATTTATAAAATATCTTATATATATTATAGTTTATTGATTGAAAATTACTGGATGTGGGGTTTTTCAGCTAATATATATTAGTACTGTTTTTTAGCCATCTGTGTAGTTGTGTGATCAACAACTCTATGGCGCACTCCCACAGTAACAAATTGTTGACTGTTTCTGATTAATGAAAAATTTAGTTTTATAATAAACTTAATCGAATAACATACGTTTGCTTTGTTTTATTATTAGTTTACCAAATGTTCATAATCCTTTAATGTTTTAGTGACACGACATACCCACATACCGTTTATATTCGTCCCTGAGGCCTTCTCGAACTGGGCTGAAAATGTTAACTTTTAAATGAAATTGAGTATTTATAAAATATCTTATATACAAAAGAGTATATTGATTGAAAATTGCAGAATATGGGGTGTTGCAATGAATATATATTAGTACTGTTTTTTAGCCATTTGTGTTGTGTGATCAACAGCTCTATASCGGACTACCCCAGTTAAAAATTGTTGACTGTTTCTGATTRGTCAAACATTTAGATTTATAATAAACATTATCGTAAAACATACTTGTGCTGTTTTTGTTTATTAGTTAACCAAATTTAAATAATTCTTTAAAGTTTTAGAGACATGACGTACCTTTATTAATTATCTTTAAKTTAATCGTATTCAGGGCTGAAAATGTTAAATTTTAAATGAAACTGAGTATTTATAAAATATCTTATATGCATATAATATAGTATATAGATTGAAAATTGAGGGATGGTGGGTTTTTTATTCAATATATTATATTAGTACTGTATTTTAGCCATCTGTGTTGTGTGTACAACAGTTCTATAGGCTATGGCGCACTCTTAATCGTATAATAAACGTTAGCATTTTTGGATTATTAGTTTACAAAATTTAGATAATCCTGTAATGTTTTATTGAAAAGACATACCATTTTCAATCTTTTTTATGGTCTTCTCCGGTGTGTCTGAAAATGTTAAATTTTAAATGAAATTGAGTATTTATTTAATAGCTTATATATAAAATAGTATATTGATTGAATATTGCAGGATGTTGGGTGTTTCTGTCAATAAATTTAATAGTACTGTTTTTAGCCATCCGTGTAGTGTGATCAACAGCTCAACGATCATAGATATTAGATATAATTATATATTAATTTAACGTAAAAAAAAATTAATATAACATAACTKAAGGCTTAATTATAAAGTCTAATGTTGTTGATTTATAATCTATTAATATAGTACAATCATATGAAAAATATCGTTATGTTAAGTAAAATATTTATATAATTATCTAATATAATAACAATAAGTCAATGTATATTAAAAGTAAAATTATAATCACTATGATGTCCATCGGAATGACTAGCAAAAAAATAAAAAATAAAACATATAGTTAAAATTTTAAAATTGTTAATCATGATTGAAGGTAGGAAGGTAACTTATTGTAAACGAATTAMACCTTTGAATAAAAAAAAGTAAGGATTTAAGTAAATGTCTTTTGACAAACTATTTAAAGGGTACTTCTGTAAATAAAAACCATAATATGTGTATSTAGAGCAACTGAATAAACCATTTGGTAAAATTAATGTTAGTAAATAATAAATTGTTGTTTACGTATCAGGTACAATACAGTGATGTAAAAGTCACAAAATTATTTTGCTGGTAACTTTTACTGAGAATGTTACAGCAATAAGGTATGCCATTTCGAATGCCACCTGTAAGTAGTATGAAATCCTTTTCACAAAGAAAATGATCTAGCTCTTGGTCCCCTAGCCTAAACGAGTGTTTGAGATCCTTTGTCTCTCCTAACAATTACCGCATGCACGGAATTAGTCGATTGCGACCGGGACTTATGTAAATGATTTTTTCTAATCTGTTCTATGTTCTGATAGTGTCCTATTTTTATAATAGGTGAGCCTCAATGTTTGGTACATAATAAATGACTTATTAAATATAATATATTTGTCACATATGGTGATAAGGTATTTTTAAACACAAATTTGTTTTTACTTAATGACTTTACATACATTTTATCTTAATGCTGGTACTACACAATATAACATTATACATTATAAATGACGGACATTAGTTTAAATCGAGGACGAATACATTGAAATCTTTATCATGTGATATATTTGTATACAATTGAAAAATGAATGTTTTTAATATTATTATATTGTGATAAGTATTGAATAATAAATTTTAAAATTTGTCATTGATTCATGCTTTTCACTGACAACGATGTCTATACCAAACGATAATTTTGATTTATAACCTTTGTTTAAACC